CTAGTGGAGAAGCCAGCAAATCTATAATCCTGCCATTTCATCATTGACAGGAGGAACATAGCTGCTGCTTTTTCAATCACTATATGCAGTAAGGGGGAAAAAACTATCCACCATAAAATTGAAATATAGTTTCTGCAAATGTCAGAATATATATTGATGTTGACTATCACAACTTCAAACATCTGGTTTTCCCATGTGTGCTAGCTGATCTTTCTGTTGGCATACCAGGAAATAACCAGTGGTAGAGAAAATAAATAGTGGTATAGGAGCAGTGCAGTTCAGAATTACATTCTCAGGAGATGGCGTTGTGTGCTCCAGCTGATTTGGTTGTTTTTGTTTTGTTATATTTTGATTATTTATTATGAATGTTTTATATGTGTTGCTATGACACACAGGATTTTTTCACATTTTATGTGTTGTGACCCCTAAAACAATACATAAATTTATATAACCCTCCCCAGGAATAATACTAGTTCAACTGATAATTAATTGTATGTATGTTTGTATGCATGCATATATTGGATATCAGTAGATGCCAGAAAAAATTAATTTCCAATTATGTGAGACTTTTTGCACTACACTCTAGAAACTTGAGATGCCAAGGCTCCTCACTCCTTTGTAGCTAACCAGGATTGATGGGATCTGAATTCCTCCCACACTTGGAAATTAACTGATATGGGGGGAAACCGCTATTGAAGCCACAATCCTGAGTATACTTTTGATAGTGCAGAAGCTGGCAAAACAGCCCTCAAGTAGTTACCACTTCAGCTGTGCACACCCTGTTGGGATGGGTAGCTGGACTTGCCTATCTCTTGGACAGAGCTGTCCCCTCTCATGTTTATGCTTGGCAACTCTGAGTTTACTTTTAAAAAAGCATCCAAAGCACAGAGGGAAAGGCAATGAGATGGGGAAAGCATCTTGGAAAAAGCCAAGGGAAGGAGTAAGAGAAAGAAGAAGAGAAGTGACCCAAGGAAGATACACAACTCTGGAAGTTGGAATATGGAGCTTGTTTTCATCCTAGGCTATCTGGTTGGCCCAGTTCTTTTAGTAGACTTGAGCAGGGTGATCTGACATATCTCCTAGAATTGACTCTGCAGTGGCTTTTCTGGACAGCCCTTCTATAATCTTGGACCAAGGATTTCCTGAAACAGGACTTGGATGCCCTTTGCTGTTATAGGAAGGTGACTTTGTCAACTTCAGGGTCCTCCAGAATATGTGAAGAGCTCTGCAGTTTGAATATCTGCAGAGATAGAGGGACTGGGAGAGTAGCACTAGCAGTGGTGGAAGTGGAGGAGCATGAAGTGCCAAAGCAACAAGGAAGGAGGGGGATGCTTCTGACATTTCATGAATCTGGCTCTTCAGTGAAATGGAAAATGAGTATGTGATTTCTGAGGAAGGTCTGTATTATGCTTCTATTGTCGTTATGGTAGCAAAAGTAGCCAAGCAAATGTACTGTTTCTACTAGGATCTATAAAGGATGATAAAGTTGGTGCTGCATGTTTTTTCTGGCTATGAGTAGGCCCCATTACCAGTGTCTGAACATCTTCTCCTTGTCAGCCATGCTCAGTGCATAATGCAAGTTACTTTCTTCCTGCCTTCCTCAGGAGTTAGAGCCCTTCAGACTCTTTGCTCTTCACACCCAGCCTTTCTACCCAAAGATTTGTGACACTCCACCTCCAGATTTGCTCATGATTCCCCCAGTTATTGTAATCCACATTTTGAGTATGTTTGTCCTAAAGCTCAATAAATCTGTTCATGTATTTTTAAAAAGTGCTTCTTTCTTAGTGACAGAGCCATTGGCTATTCCTTAGCTACCGCTAAGGAAAACCTTTGAGCACTTTTTCAGGAGTTGGTATGTGCCATTCTTCTTTTAATCAAATAGCATTTTGGATAAATAATGCTAACACATGGTATTTTTTTCCAAAGCAGATTCTGTAAGTCTCCTGAAAATTCAGAATATATTTCATGGATATGAACGACTAATTGAGCTTGAGAAGGGTCGTTATACTCAATTGCTTGAAAAAGTAAAAAAACTTGAAGATGAGAGAAATGAATGGCAAAAAATTCTGGAAGAAATGACAGAAATGAAATCTATATTGGATCATAAAAAAGTAGAATATGAAAGTGATGTCACCAGTCTCAGGTAAGAGCTTTTAAATAAATAGTTGATTCTGGTATAATTTACCCAACTTTTTTTTAAGTTAAAGAAACATTAAAGCAAGTAGAATGAATTAAATCAGATGATCTGTTTTTAAAAAAAAGAATAGTATTATAGGAATGCATAACAACATTTTGGTGCTTATAATTATTTCTGCTGAATTATTTGTTTTAGATTGGAGCAAGGTGCAACAGTAGCCCAGCATTCTGTATGGTTGTTAAACCGTGCAGCATTGCCTGAAATAAAATGAAAGTTTGAAATTATGATGAAAAATGTATCTGTTGCAATTAAATGACAGATTAAAAGATTGATTCACTGTTTTTAAACTCTTTTGTCATAATCCATATATCACGTTTTTTTAAGTGTAATTTATTTTATATCTACAATGAGCATATTAGGCTTCTTATAGCCTGATAAGTCCAGAACATCTGCACATTCTTCCTTTCTCAGGAAAACCCAACAGTGTGTGGTTAGTAATAGGATCAAAACATATATACCCTAACAAACTTAGAGATAAATCAGGTGCTAAACTAAACATAGTCAGTTGTCAAGATTTCTGTAACATAATTTTCCTTTCAATAAATATGGTTAAAGAAACTCTAAAAATCTTGCTTTTAGCTACTGAAACTAGCATTTTCAATTGTATAAAGATTACTGGAAGTCTTCATTATAACTGTTAGCTTCAATATCTACACTTCAGTTTGTCATATTTTCACTGTACTGATAATAGTTTGGCCAAATTGTGCAATCTCTGATTTTACATATGTGGCTCTATATGTATATGTGCAAACTTGCTAATTCAAACTGGAGCCAGAGCAGATAAGCAGTCTTAGTTCCATTTTACACATGTGTATCCTAGCTTTTTATATATTTATTGTTCAAATCTATCTTAAACGTTTACTCATGTATCCAGGTTTTCTTTGAAACAAGAGGAAGAAAAAAGAATGAGTGCTGAAATGCTATATGAGAAAAACCAAGAGCAGTTAAGGAAGAAAGAGGAGCAGTACTGTACGCAGATGGAAGAAAAACAACAGCTTGAATTAATGCTGAGAAGCCTAGAAATTGAGTTAAAAACACTCAAAAACCACCTGAAACAGGTTAGGTTAAATCAAAGCATTTTTTTAATTATGAAAATTAACATTTTCATATGTTTGTAATAATCAACTTTTCTTTAATAAATGTAATATACTTTTTAGAACATCTTGTACAGCATGTTTCCTGAAAAGGCCAGGGCTATCCTTCATAAGAGACAGTCTTTATCTGGGTAAATCCTTTGCTCATCAGCAAAAGACAAGCAGTATGAGTGTCAGCAAGTAATAGAATGAATATAAACAGCCTCTCTAAGACAGTGCACCTTCATGGCTACCCTGTTAACAGAAGGGGAGTGAAAAAGGGAGTATGAAGAAAGGGTGGAATTAAGGCAGAGGTTTTGTGAGAGTCCTAAACTAGTCTACATTTGTGGGAAATATTGCATGGTACTCATATTGATTTGCAGAAATAAGTTTTGTGGTAAGAGTCTTGCACTTTTTTTCCTTCATTCTAATATAAATTGACTTATATAGGTGGTCCTCATTTAATATCACTCATTCAATGACTGTTCAAACTTACATCAGCACTGAACAAGTGGTTGATTACGACTAGTCCTCAGAGTTCCAGCCATCACAGTGTCTCTGCAGTCATGTGATCACGATCTGGACACTCGGTGCCCATCTCACAATTATGATGTCGCAGCAAGCTGCAGTCACATGATCACAATTTTTGACTTTCCCTGCCAGCTTCCCACAAACAAGGTCAGTGGGGAAGCTGGCAGGAAGTCAGAAGTCATGGTCACGTGAGGTCCTCATTTAATAACCTGCTCTGACTACATATCTGACTGCAGAATTGCTGTCACTAAGCGGCATGGTCACATGATGTAATGCTTAGTGTCACTTAGCGACAGCAATTCTGGTCTCAATTGCCATCATTAACCAAGGACTACTGTAATGTGATTTTCAGAAGCGAGTCAATCTGGTAGTCAGCACCATATCTTGTGGCTATAAATTGAAATGTTTACCATTATTCCAAGATCTCTTTTCCTCATCAATCACTGCTAACTCTGATCCCATTTTTGGCACCAGTATGCATCACTTTACACTTGCTCATGTTGAATGACATCTGTCATTGTGACACCCAGTCCCCAGTCACCTAATGTGCAAATAACTCTTTGGAGCTCTTTGCAACCCATTATTGTTTTTACCACTCTGAACAATTTAATGACATGAGCAAATTTTGCCGTTTCACTAGTCACACCCATTTCCAGATCATTTATAAAAAGCACCAGCCTTAGGACAGAATCCTGGGGAATGCCACTAGTTATATCCCTCCATTGTAAGAAATGTCCCTTTACTCCTACTCATTGTTCACTATTCTTTACCCAGTTGCTTATCCAAACGAGGACCTGCCCTTTATATTCCATGGTGGTTAAGCTTCTTGAGAAGTCTTTGCTGAGGGAATTGATCAAAGGCTTTTTGAAAACCTAAGTAGATTATGTCTTCTGGCTCACCCTTATCCACATGTTTATTAATCCTAAAAAAAAAATAGTATATTTTAGTAGACAGGACCTTTCCTTAGTGAAGCCTTGTTGGGTATCCTTGAGCAAGGCCTGTGTCAACAGTGGTTGCTATTTTTATCTTTAATAGCAGTTTCCACTATCTTTCCCAGAACAGATGTGAAGATGGCAGGCCTATAATTTCCTGGATCTCCCCATGAGCCATTCTTAAAAATTGGAGTTATATTGGCCACCTTCCAGTTCTCAATAACAGAGGCTGACTGTAGAGATAGATTACATATTTTAGTTAGGAGGTCCACAATCTCAACATTAAGGTCTTTAATAACCCTTGGGTGGATGCCATCAAGGTCTGGTGATTTGTTCGTGTTCAATTTGTCAGTAAGGCCTAGAATAGAATAAATAGAAGCATACAATCAAGCACCCTGGGAGGATACATCAAAAATGTGGCAGAATGTCCCCAGAACAAAAGAGGGCCTTTCATTGAAAGTTTTCTTGTCACCTTGAAACAAACACTGCAGAGATTTAACCAGCTAAGGAATGTAAATGGTGAAGAAAATACTTATCTTATTATTACAGCTGCCCTATGACATCCATTCTATGACAATATCTTATTCTCAATGAAATTCTTATTCTGGGAGATTTTCTGTTTGGTAGACCCAGTATCACCTTAGTTAGGAGCGTACACCACCTGGCATAAGCATGAAAACAAGATAAAAGGCTTTTGCATTATCCATGGTTTGCTTAGTATGCAGCAAAAAAAACAATACTCCTGAGAATAAGGACAAGTATTCCATTACAATGCACTTGACCAAAGTTACAAGTTTTGATTTAGGAGAAACATTAGAAGGCTAAAAGTAGGAGAAATTAAGCCCCATACCCATTCTGTCATATTTTGAAGTTTTCTTTTTTCCTTTTAAAAAACTAAAAATTAAGCAAATTTTGTTTATTTGGAAATGCAGATCTTTCTGATGCATTTTCCTTATAATCAAGAAAAAGCTTTGAGAACAAAAAGAAAATAGACTTAAAAGAATTTTAGTGACCTCATAATTACATAGAGGCATTATGTTGTTTATGATGTCAGCTGAAGCAAGGAGGTGTGGATATGGCAGTTCTGTAATAAGCAGTTTTGCAGCATCTATCCACATTTTAATGTTTTCACTCCTTAAACAACAGCAGGGGCATACTCTGCATGAATTCAATTTTAATAATTTTTTTTGTCCGCTGCTTCTTTCAATACTGAAGAAGCAGCAAATTTGAGGGTCTTTTGCTTAATATCTTGTCTGTTAAAGTGAGCAATAACTGCTTTGGTAGGATAGCATAATGAAGAATATTCAGGAGGCTCAAAAAATATATGGGCAACATCAAATCAAATTACTAAAAATGACGAATTGTTCAGATTACTTATAGAAGTATCATAATTGGGAGCTATGGAGGCTGAGGCAAACTACCAACTATATCCTGACTTTTCAGGAAGCTCTAATACTTTTAAACCTTTGGTCAGAAAAAACATACCTACTAGTTATCAAGGAAGTTTGCTTCCTAGCTTTTCCTTTTCTGTTCCCCCTGTGAAAGAAAATGGTTTAAAGAAGATTAATTTCCCACCAAGTACAATAGATGTAGGTTTTACTAAAACCCCTCAAGAGTTACAAGGCCTTGTGAATGCTGTTCGACAAATGGTAAGCTTGTTCTAAAATCAATATGCAGTCTTTTTCTTTCTTTTGTGATTTATTCAGAAGAATAAATACATTCTGAAAAAAATCTCCTCACCAGAAGTTGTGTTTTTTTCTTCTAAATGAAGGTGCTACATAAGATTGAAACTAATATTTTTCTGAAAATATAAGATTAAGCCTTCATCTTATACTCAATTATTTGTATTCAGTTTCTACTCATATTGTTAGCATGAATAAATGCTTGGTCAATTACTTTCATGGTTAAGACGACTTTGTGTACATGAGGTACCTATAAAGGACAGCCCCAGGACTAAAGTTGCTAGAGAAATTCAGTCTCACATTTTATTAAGCTGCAGATAATGGCTAACATATTACTGCCAAAATGACTGTTTATTAACAGTTTTTCTAATGTTGCTAGTAATTATTTTACATATGTCTAATTGTTAGTGTTATTTATCTATTTATTTGGTTGCTCTGTATAGCTGGCTTCTCAAAACAGCTCAGTTGGCAGTGTCTATATTACATATCTTACATTCTCCTCTGAATTAATACTTCCATTCCCTAAGTCCATGGCTATATACACAGACACAGTCTTGCCAGTTCAGTATAATATTCTATGCATCTAATTAAATGGCTTCTAGTTCATTAAAATATATGCCATAACAAATTGAATAGTTTGTTAGTTTGCTACAAATTGATATTTTTGTAGGTTGAAGAAGAACGTAATGAAACACAGAGACAGCTCTGTCAAGAACAAAATGCCAGAGCTCTACAAGAAGATATTTTAAATACCCATTTCTGGAGGCAGAAGGAATTAGAAGAAGAATCAAAGAAAGTAGCAACTAAATCCCCAGAGGTATCCACTTTGCCAAATATTTAAAAATATTGAAGTGCATATCAAGTATTTTCAATTGCATTGGCTACCAATCTGCTTCTGTCCCTAAATCAAAGTTCTGGCCATTACCTATAAAGCTCTATGTGGTTCAGCTCCCAGATACTACATAGGATGGGACTATCTCTCTCTGCCAGTTTGAACCCATCCTGTGTGTATGTCCAGGGAAGAGATGCTAAGGAATCTCATTCTATATGAGCGGAAGGGGCTGGAGGCCTTCTCAGTGCCTGCTCTATGCTTTGGAACACCTTGCCTCTTGAGGTATGTGGTCCCTCCCATTTATCGGCTGTTAAGAAGGCTCACAGATTTTTTTTTTTTTTGTACAAAATGTATGGACACTAAGGGTAATAGGATTGCTTTACTGATAGGTTCTATTAATTGGTAATTATTTGGGGGTTTTGTCCCTATATATTTGCATGTACTGTGTATTGGGGGGAGAGATTGTAAACCATCTTGAATATCTGAAGTCGGCAGGATATAATTTTATAAATAAATAAATAAATCTTCAACTGTGATCTACATTTAAACCATGCAGATCAGGGAGGATCAGTATTCATAACTAAGAATTCATCAAATTAATTATTTGTTTATATACAAAATCCCCCTTTACTCCATATGTTTTGATGTTGTTGTAATTTAGAGAACAATATAAGATAAAATATTTTTCAATTATTTAAGGGTGGAGCTGTTCATTTTATGGCCTCATTAGGTAGAAGCATGTGGCTGAATTTGTTCAGTCTTAGAAGACAAGCTGAGTCAAGATTGGTGAACCTTTGGGTAGGAGACTATCAGGGAATATTAACAATAGACTAGATTAGGGAACTAGAAAACATCTCATTAGATAACAGTGGCAAACATTTTTTCACTTTATTGCCAAGAGAACTGCATGGATGTCGCCATGAATTCACTAGCAGACAAGCTTGACCCAAATGAGACTTTTTCTTACCTTACAGTTCATTTTAGTCATTTTTTTTAAATATTCGTCCTAGATATTAAAACTTTGTGAGTATAATCTGCATGGAACACATTCACATAAATGTTAAAAAGGCACAATGTAAGACAAATTTGTTACTTGTTTTTTGTAGTTCTGTTCTCTCTCAATATCTGTAGACAGATCATGAGGTGGGTGGCTTTATAAATGTGGTTTATAAATAAATAAAACTTTGGTTGAGATTTTGAGAGGATTTTGTTTAAAAACAGACTTTCATTAAATAAAATAACACATTTTCCCATGCATTTCAAACATTCTAAAAAAATGCTGTTGTAATATTTATTACTCATATTTTGTGCTAAATTTATTATAGGCCTGCAATTGGTGGGTTCTAGATCAGGTATCATTGCTTCTTCTGTGCAAGGGATGATTATCTTTTCATTTCATTTGGTTTTCTCAATTGCATGAGGCATAAAACATACCTTCCATGAATGAGAAGCACTCTGTATCTGGGAAAGTATTTTTGGATGTAATTTTATTGTTAGTTCCAATATGGATAAATGCCAGAGGAAGCACCCACTTGGAACCAACTTCCTCTGGCATTTATCCATATTGGAACTAACAATAAAATTCCATCTAAAAATATACGTTATTTAGACATACGTTAACATATAAAGAGAATATTAACATCCTCTTTTCAACATGTATAATATATATACATGTTATAGATGTGGCCCTTTTAAAGAGATTTAAAAATAATGAAAGGTTGTTGTAACCTTTTCTCTTTAAATGATCTCAGTGATATACCAAAATTGATTAAAATTAGGAAAATTTGAAAGGGGTATACTATTTTGAAAAGAAAATACATAGTTGTCATACTATGACATACATGTTGTGCCATATAAAAATAAAAAGCAATTATTCAGAAAAAAAACTAACCAGGTTTCTGTTCTTGAAGTGTCTGATGAAAAGGCTAGAAAGCCACAAGCAGGATGCAAGTGTAACAGCACTTTCCATATCATCTCTTTTGGGACTGATACTGGGAGACATAATGTGTCTGATACTGGAGGTAATATTTAGCCATTCTGAGTATTACCTGTTAGTAACTTTTATCCAACGTAAATTTGTCTGATGTCCTAGAATATAGCTTACATCTCTGGATTCTATAAATTTATTTATTATCCTTCTGCTTATTAATTATTCAGATGACTGATAATCATGACCATGAAAAAGAATTATTACATAGAAATCAAATACTCCAAGATGAACTTGCTGTATTAAAATTAGAACTTGATCACATAAGGATTCGGCATCAGGAGGAAGAAAGCAAATATTTAGAAGAAAATGAAACTTTGAAAGAAAAAAACGAAGAACTTAAAAAAGAACTGAAACTAAATGAAGAAGCTTTGACTCAAACAGTTTTTCAGTACAATGGACAAATAAGTGTATCAAAAACAGAGATTGCAATGGTAACATCCAAATTGGAACATACAAAAGAAAATAAAGAAAGATTGGAAGTAGAACTGGATTCACTCCGTTCTCGTTTGAGTTCTGCTGTTCAGGAACTTGACCGTAGTCAGATAACAAAAAATGATCTTGAACGATTGCTTCAACGAGAACATGACGAATGGCTCCGCTCAAAAGACAAATTGAATCATGAGATATGTACTCTACGAGAAGCTAACAGTAGTATGTCTCAACAGTTAGGGAAAGCTGAAAGTAAAGCTAATAGTCTAGAAAATGAGCTTCACCATGTAACTCACAATCTCAGAGAAAAGAACTTGCTGTTAGATAGTATTCAAAGAGAACTAAACCAGGCACAGTGCCAAGTGAAAGAACAAGAAAATGCACAACAAATTGCAAAGGATCAAATAAACAAATACGTAATAAAACTCGAATCTATGCAAGAACGTTTAGCACAGCTCCAAAGTGAAAACCTCTTATTTCGACAACAGTTTGAAGATTTTCAGAACAAGGGCATTATCAAAGAAAAAGTAGTGACTGATGTTCAAGACAGATTTAATGATATTTTTAATAAACTAAGAGCTGATACTGAAAAACAAATTCAGATGATGGAAGAGAGAAATAAGGAATTAATCACAAAATGTAATAATTTAAAGGACCAAGTCATTAAATATGAAACAGAGAAAATAGACAGAGAGGTAAGCAGGATTTATGTTCTGTCAATTCCATTGATGCAATCATTTTTCAAGATGAAGATCTCTAAATTAAGCTCAGTTTTCCCTCAGATACACAATTAGTTGAATATGGTAATGATGGACTTTATAAGGAAGTAAAATATTGCAGTTTTATAACACAACTATTGGATTGTGTATATAAAATTAAGCACTCTTCAAAGTTATTTTAAATAATTAATCTTTGCATTCCTTCAGCTAGTAAATGGCTGTTCATTGCTTCAATTGATACTGGTCATGAAAGAAATCTATACCCACACACAGGTATGTGGACATATACATACATACACAAACCCATATAAGTACATGTGTAATTGTTATTGAACATTCTTGTATCTATTATAAATATTACTTAATTAAAAATGCAGTCATTTCACTTTGTTTTGTATGAATTAAAAATTAATTAAAAATATTTTTAGAGTGCAGTAAGGCAACTGCAGCAAGAACTTGCAGATTCTCTTAAAAAGCAATCCATGTCAGAAGCTTCACTGGAAGTTTCAACACGTTATCGTATTGACTTAGAGGAGGATAAACAGCAACTCCTGAAGGAAATAGAAAGGATAAAATGTAAGGTATGCTTACAATAGTTTACTAAATGCTTTATATCTTCTACTATGGGAGCAGAACAGCAGAACATCTAACACATTCTAATGGAGTAGCTTTTGAAATAGCTTTGCCATGGTTCTGATCCTACACTGAGAGTAGCCTCCACAGAGTAGAATACTGTTCTGCTCTGTGGCTTTCATACTGTGGGATGCATAAAGGTTATGCTGTCCCCATGCTACTCAACATCTATATGTGGTCAGTGGGAGTGATTATCAAGAATGGTGGGTCTGGGTGCCCTCTTTATGCAGATAATATCCAGGTTTCTTCTCCTTTCCATCCTCATCAAGTGTGCTAAGCGTACTGAATTCCTGCTTGGGCCAGATTGTGGACTAAATCTAGATAAGTTTGAGGACATTCTGGTTGGAGGAAATCTCAGCAGATGGGAAGGGACTTTTCTTACTTTGTTCTTCCCCTAAAGGACTAGTTGTGGTTGCTCTTTGACAAGAAGTGCCTATTGCCATTTGTGCAGGATTTATGAGCTGTATCACTTCCTGGAGAGATCTAATCTTGCTTCTGTGATCCATGTGCTAGTTACCTCCCAATAAGATTACTGCAACGTGCTCTGTATAGGGAAGCCCTTGAAGGAGATTTAGAAACTATGGGAGTCCAGTATGAGGTGACTAGGCTTTGTAGGATATGTCATGCAGGAGCACATTGTATCTATTCTAGCTAAGCAACATTGGCTCTCAAATTTCACAGCTGCAAGAATCAGAAGAACAGAATATCCAGTATGAAAGATCTACTCATGAATTAAGACATGCTTTGGATGCTAAGGAGCATGACGCAATTGTGGCATCTCAGAAATTACAGGATCTTCTAGTAGCATCATCAGGAGCAAGCAATGCTATAAAACAATTAGAAGAGCACATACAAAGGTAAAACATGCTGAAATTTAAATATATTAAATTATGAGAATTCATATAAAATTCTTCTGCAGTTTATTACTACTATATGCTATAGAAACCTAGAAACATGTATATGTAGATAAAGAAATATAGTTACAAGTGTATCCTGTTTTGAGGCTATGTGTTTTTCTTTTAAGACTTGAAATAGAAAATGCCAGATTGGAAGCGACAACGAACCAGCAAACTAATAGAATTGAGACACTTCAGAAAGACCTACAGGATAGTGCTTCTGTAAGTCAGCCATAATATTTTGGGGAAAGATTTTATCTGTTTGATTCCTTTACTGTATTTTATAATTTATAAAAATATAATATTTCAGACTGCTATTATAGCATGGTGAATTAGTTTCCTGCATTTTCAGAAGTCATAAATAAATTAAATAATTACTGAAATCATGAATGTAACAGTAGTAAAGAATGTAAATAACTAAAGAAATCTTTAGAGAATTTCCTTAGTCTTTAGACTTTTGCAACTTGCATAATTACTCTTCATTACTTTTGGGGTGATCTAGGTTCATAATCGTCTTGAGGAATTAATAACTGGCTTACAAACAGCAAAAATCAGTCTAGAGGAACAACTAAATCACCAGGTATTCTGAATATATATATATTTTTTATTATACCAATGAAGGTAAAATGAAGAGAGGTATTTTCAAGACAAGGAAAATTCACATATGAGAAAATTGACACATTTCACTTTTAGGTCGTTCACTTTGATTTCTGCTATATAGATAAAATGCAAAAGAAGGATCATTACTGGAATAATGGACATCAGACAGTTTGATTGAGAGAACTGCACTGGCTGTGCAGTTTGGGTGACTCATATGAACATAAAGTGTACCCTTCAATTTTCTTCACAAATACAGGGAACTAAAATGAACTTGAAGCAAGATTATTATAGTCATTCAGAATGTGTGAATGAGCACAGGAAACAAAGGACTGGTAGCTGATGGTCTTTGGATCCTAAGAGCTTCAGTGCTCCTGGAAGCACTTTTTTATAAGGACCATGCAGAATAAAGAGAGCGCACACACACACACACCTATATATATAAAAATAAAAAATAAATTTCTGGAAGAGTGGAGTAGCTAATGTAGCATATTCAGAACTACCTAGCTTTGAATGTAATCAGACATGGAAGAAAGAAGCACCCAGTCAGTGTTATTTTATTATTGTTGTTGTTTTAATTGTGATTATTAATTAAATGTTCTTTTTGGACTTGCATTACTATTTGAACCTTTTAAAAATCTCTTTTTAGGTTTTTTAACTACATTCCTTGCAAACTTTTAAATTCCATTTTTCACTTTAAATATCTATTTTCTTTTGAAAGCAAGTCTTAAAGTGGAAAATCAGTGATATGTGAAAAACAGTTTTATTTTGCATTCAGTAAGACATATGTTGCCTAGAAAATAAAATTGAGATGTAAATTCTCTTTAAAATTGATATTAGCTTCTGGTGACTTTATGGGCATGTCCATATAAATTTTTGTGGCACTAAACAGTGGTTTGCCATTGCCTTCTTCTAGGATGTTTTTCAATTTCATATTCGACCCTATCATTCAAGAATTTTCCTGTGATATACCATTTCAAACACTAATCAGGTCTGCTCAAACAAACAAAAAAATATGAGTGGAGGTTTGGTGTTATTCCTGGTCATATGCCAAAATTTGTTCACTTTGAAAGTCATGGATGTTCTGAACCCAGTTATGACTAATAGAATGTTTTGCAAATTTAGAATAGGATTTAGTTTATTTATTTTATTTATGTCTCTGTGTAGGCATGGATCCTTGAAATTTGAATTTTCTTAAAGGCCTGTTATTAGTTGAGTGTGCTACCCTCTTCTTGGGTGTGAGGCAGGAAGAGGGTAGGAGTGGATGTGGCCCTCTTCTCACTGGCTAGTGAGAGAGGCCAGTTGAGAGAGGGAGTGTGGTAAGGGAAGGGGGAGTTGGGGTCACTAAGCCCCTGTTGGCGCTGAGAGCAGATAGTTGAAGTTCCACAGGGGCCCATTCCCCCCCCCCATATTCCCCCTTGGTCTGAATTGATTATGATAGGGCAGGCCCTTTAGGCTGGAGGCCAGGAGGGCGGGTGGAAGAGTGGAGGATCACCTTGGGTTTTCAGGGTGGGTATTCATGTGGTGACAGGGATGGGACGTTATGACAGGAGCCAGAGGGCAGGGTGTTTCAGGGGAAGACACCCCCATTGTGTTACCAGTGGCATGTTCCAGCCCTCTGCACTCAAGCCCAGACCCTGGTCAGTGGGCCTACAGAGGTCCGGGCTTTTGGCTGCTGCTGCTGAATGCCAGGTCGGTCAAAAATAAATTATACACGACCTTATTGGGGAGGAGCAGGCTGACCTGGCATGCATTACTGAGACCTAGCTGACACGAGAAGGGAGTGCTGCCCTTTCAGAAATGTGTCCAGCCGGGTTTAGGGTTTGGCACCAGCCGAAACCCCAAGGGAGGGAGGGGGTGGCAGTGGTAATCTGGGAATCTCTGATGGCCTTCAGGGGCTCTGCTCCACAAGTTGCTGAATGTGAGACCCTGTTCCTGAGGATGGGCATGCGGAATCAGTTGGGAGTTTTGCTTCTGTACCAGCCTCCCTGCCACATAGCAACCTCCCTGCCTGAGCTGCTGAAGGCCATCTCGGGGTTGGCGGTGGAGTTCCCCAGGTTTATGGTGTTGGGGGACTTTAATCTACCATCCCTGGGGTTGGCCTCGGAGGCAG